CGTTAGGTTTTGCAAAACGTACCTCTTAGCTACAAGTTGTAGAAGAAAATGAAATACCGAAGAGGATGAGACAGAACACTTGACATGGTTCCAACGACTAAAAGGCTTCTGTTAGGCTCTGCATGGCCAACTGGGAAAGGTCTGTAGGCCCATAAAGCCATTTCGGTCTCTCTGAAATAAATATACGCAAAGAACAGACTGGTGGATGTGCGATTCAAAAACTGGGCTGCGTTTGAATATCTCTCTCGGATGAAAGATTTGAGTTTATGGACCCCTCAACAATCCCAAACACTGTGGCACTCGTGAATCTCCATTTGCACACGGACTTCTGTGATTACATAGGATTCTGACCCGGATCCTTCGTCTTTTTTTAAAAGTGAAACTCACTGACTGTTGAGTGTTTGTTACTACGCGACAGTCTGGATGGACGCTGAATCCGAGCTCTGAGGCAGAAATATGGCCGTCTGGCAAATCCTTTCATGCCGCGTGGCAAGTACGCCCGCGCGGTCTAAGAATCTGCCATTCATGCCAAGTTAAAAGACCAAACCCGGATCATTGGGGTTCAGGTGCATTCTGTAACATGACTCGGAAGAATTTTCAGCGATCTACGCTCCAAGTGTTAAGTCTTACATATCTTCAAAAATACCCCATGCTTACAAATTAGTATCAATTCATTTATTGCACAAACAACCAAGTTCACTTGATGGCCGTAAACTGTTAAGTGATAAATTGCCGAATAATTTAGAACCCGACCTGCCGTTACACCTGCATTCAGAACTACACGCTAAATATTTCCGTGTACGGAAAATCACACATTACTATACGCCATTAAGAGGAGACCGTATGGGCTTCATAGAATTTGACAGTGGATTTGAGGCACATTGTAAACTGAACAAGCAACATTAGTAACTACAGAGACACGATGTTTTATAAACGGGCACTTTGCGGTCTTAAAAAGCGCACAATTGGATGCTTTTTAAAATCGAATTATGCCCCCTTTAAAGTATGAAATTTGAAGAAGGCGTTATTTTTTTCGAAATGAGTAAAAGAACGAATATTTTTATGCATCGTTGTCATTTTTACAGAGTGTAGTTTTTGCAGGCGGCTGGAAGGAATTTCCCTAAAAGCCGGAATCCCAAAGTAACAGAAGTTTTTTGAAATTATGTTGCCCGGTAATTAATATTACAATCCTACCTAAGTAATATTTTTTGAGGCGAAAAGGTATTTTAGAATTTAGGTCGACATTTTATGAGTTAGCACATCTACAGTAATCAGGGCAATCTACGTTTTTCAGTTTGGCGAGTCGAGAAGAGACCAGACAGTGAAACCCGCTCCAGCACCATATTACACCTGACTATTACCACACCCCTCGTGTGTGTGTCAGTTTGGAATAGTCGGGTTGACTCAAATACTCGACACGAGCGTTCGATCGTTGGTTTCGACGATGTTCGTCGTGTGCTCCACAGAAAAGCGGAGCAGGGACGGTGACTTGTGCGTGAGTTAGTTTATAGTGATGATAGGCTTGTACACCATCTACCGCGCTCTCTCTTCCCCACTTCCCATCTGGACCCGGTGTCAAAACAGAGTCAAGAAGGCCGGAGGTGGGGGGAGGGCACAGGCGGTGACACAACCAAAGCCCCACCTAGGCGTGCCACCACACCCCCTGGTACACACAACAAATGACAAGGATTTTTTGCCAACAACAATAACAGCACCCCAACAGTCGGCCAGAACGACGAATTTAACTAGACAGCCATGCCCAGCATCTACGGAAGTAACGGGGACGCAGGCGTATCTACCGGCAGGAAACCAGATGTCAGGGAACCGTCAGCGCATACCAGACTGCGATGGCCGTGGTTTGCTGATACTGTCATATCTTTTTAAATATTTGACGCAGTCTTACACTCGCCGACAGTTTGGCCGTCGCTGCCGACGGTGTCCGCCGTGTGCTCCACAGCGGGGTGAGAGAGCAAGGACGGTGACTGGCGCGTAAGCTGGTCTATAATGATAGTAGACCTTCGCAGCATCTACCGTACTCTCCCCCCCCCCTCCCACCCGATATCAAGACAGAGTAAAGACAACTGGAGATGGGAGAGGACGCTAAGCATACTACCGCACCTCCTGGTCCACAACAAACACTTTAGCAGGATTTTACACACAATAAGAGGAGAGGGGACGACTCGTATCTACACGTGTGCTGGGCCCCCAACCTATTCTTAAACACTCCAAACTGTGTCATTGGCCGTCTGACAAGTCCTTTTATGCTATATGGCCAGTACGTCCCGCGCGGTTCGAAAAGCTACCATTCATGGCAAGTTAAAAGACCAAATCTGGACAATTGGAGGTCAGTTGCATTCGGTAATGCGACTGGGGAGAATTTTTTACGATTTACGCTCCAGGTGTTAAATAATATCACGTTTTTGGGTAAACAGCCAACTTCATTTGAATATCAAAAAAAACATGACAGATATAATGACAGACTGTATGGTAGTTTATACTGAGTGGGAATCCTTGTCAGGCAAATTGCCAAGTTTTTTGAGATCTTTGTCACTTTTAAGAAAGTTTGATTCTGAGGTAGCGATGACTTAAAACTTCATACAAAACTGCCAAAGTAGAGTCTTGTGTGAGCAGACCTAATGCAGCCCTTTAGTCCTTTGTGAGGAATAATCAGTTTTCTATAGGCCAGGATGGGGGAATGACAAACGGTAACAGTAGCGTGTAGGACCCTACATAGCCGGCAACACCAAGATATACACTAACACTCAGTGTGACTGTGAACATAACTCATTATTCACAGTTCCCATTGGTTGAAATTTCCCTGCCTTCCTGACTAAACGTAAACTTACCAATGGCGATTTATTCAAAGTCCGTTTTTTTTGAAAATTTGCTTTTGGTTTGCCTTTTAAAAATCGCGCCCACTTGCTTTGCCAAACGACAGCGTACGATAGGACTTTCGGCAGAAATTTGTTTATTTTCTGCGTCTTCTCGCCCGCCGTCCTGCGTGTTGCCCACCCGTAAAACCCTCTCCACCAACACTCGACCTATGTCGCGGTCCACAGGTTAGCTCAAGTTAGATGGGGTCCTACACCCTACCATTGCTTGATAAACTCTTGAGAGCATGCTTGATTTTTATTATAAGAAAAGAGTCAGAGAGTTAAGGAATTAAGGTATAAAAATTAACTTCCGGCCAGTCACATGGCCGATCTGTCCTATGGAAGGAACATAGGATACTGTGCTATGTCCAAAAGCCATGAAAAGAAACGGCAGGAGATCATTTGGGGATCAAAGCATGTCCTGTTTAAAAGGTACGTGCAGACATCGAAAATCCAGTAGTCATTAGTCTTGATGTCTCCCTCAGTGGTAACAGTAAACGGCGGCAAACTAAAGTTGGAAATTTGATTCACGGTTGGCAGGCGTCTAAAGTCATGTGCCGGTGTTATCAACCTATCTATAGTAATTGCAGAACGGAGTAAAAACTTCTTCTTTCTGCCTTTCTGGTGGTTGGTCATTCGTCATTATTCGGTCAGCAGAAGGAGATGTGGACCCAGAGCGTCCAGGCAAAATAGAAACGAGCAAGTCTATCTTCTAATCAACGCACTACACTTCCGCATGACCCCGGAGTTTTCCTGAACTCCACCATGGGTCCGACCCAACTGGCGAGTCGATTAACTCCAGTGTTTTCAGTGATGAAAGAGCTCGACTTCGAGCACCAAGGGGTAGTCCGTTGATAGCAAGGAGGCCGAAAATAACCATTTCAGTGGCACAGTGTTTGATAACTTGAAAACTAAAGTCAAGGAGCAGTGGACGCTTGGCCATCATGTACTCTAACTGCTCATATACGTAAACGTTTTTATAAGCGATCGATGTTCTTTCTTCAAGTATAAAATTTGAAGAAGAGGTAATTTGATACCAATCAAGCACAAGAAGGAATGTTTTTGCGCATGTTTTCTATAGAATATATATGAGTTATTAAAGGCACCGGGAATCAATGGCAAAAAATTATGCTACTTAAATACTAATCATATATCATGTGTGGTCTTTGCAGGTGGTCACTATTATACCCCACCTACAGTAGGTGGGCTAACTCATGAAATGTCAACCGAAATGCGTTTTCGTTTCGAAAAGATTAATTAAGCAGGGTTATAAACTAGTCCGCCTGCAACATAATTCTAAAATATGTCAATTACCCCAGGGTGTCGGCTTTTGAATGAACTTCTTACCGGATCCATGCAAAAGCTACACTCTGCAAAAAAATGAGTACTTAAGTAGCACGAATTTTTCTCATTGATTTTCAGTGCTCCTAAATGTCCAATTTTATTTCATGGAAAACATGTATGAAAATATTCAGTCCTTTGGTCTTTCGGTAGATCATTACGTCTTCTTCCAAGTTGATACTCGACGGAATTATATAATTCGATTTTCAAATATTTTTCCGATTATCGAATAATTTTGAACCTGTTTTACCGTTACACTTGGATGTAAGGCTTCGAAACTACAGGCCGTCTATTTTCCGCATACGGAAAACCACACATTTCTCTACGGCAAAAAGGAGGACCATATGGGGTTTATAAAATTAAGCAGTGGATTTGATCCATATTATTAACTTTACAAGCCACACTGGTAACTACACAGATATGACGATTTATGAACGGCCATTTCACGGTATTTAAAAGTCCCAAAATTAGAACTTCTTAAAAGCGAATTATGTCCCTCTTAGAGTATAAAATTAGAAGAAGACATAGATATCTGACGAATGAGCGAAATAATGAAAATTTTTATGCATGTTTTCCAGGAAATATAATTGGACATTTAGGGGCATCGAAAATCAACAAGAATAATGCATGCTACATAAGTAGTCATGTTATATAGAATGTTGTTTTTGCATGCGGCCGAAATGCAGTTCATTCAAAAGTCAGCATCCTGAGGTAACTGAAGTATTTTAGAACTATGTTGCAGGCTGACTAATTTTACAAACCTACTTAATTAGCCTTTTCAAAACGAAAACGCTTTTCTTAATTTCGGTTGACACTTTATGAGTTAGCCCACCTACTGTAAGTTGTCCTTTATACTCAAAAACGAATTTCGCATTTGCATTTAACGTTTAATGAGATGGACCAGCTACAACATCAACAGCCGGAAGAGTAGATCTGCGACTATACGTTGCGTGAAGATAAATGGTTGCAGAAGATGCCGCCGACTCGCGAATATCTTTATTCATGAGCGCCCCCGGTCTTGACTCTATCTTGATATCGCGTCCAGCTGAGGAGTACTTAAGTTCTTCTCTCAGCGATCGTGTCTCCTTCTTCAAGCAACTCAGACACGTTGAAGTAGCACTACCATAATCTTGCTACTTCTAACCCAGGAGAGATGGCTTACTCAAGCCCGTTCGGATAGCCGCGGGTCTTCGATTTATGGCGTTATAGGATTGCTGCCCGTATCGATGACGCTCACATTCGGCTTGTATAGCTTTCCATCCGACAGGATTCCTTTCAGTTGCTCATCCCTCCCTTTCCTACGTTCTCCTTCTTTTTGCGTCAGCCTGCTGATTACCGTTCGACTTCGCATTCATGCGACATATCATAGAGTACGACCTTACCGCTTCTACAGAGCACGAGTGTTCCGCTGTCCCTTTACCCGAGAGACCAATTAGGGATTTCCTCGTAATCCCGTACGAAAGGGCAGCCAGAGCGCAGACGGGACGTCTCCCTTTCAAACGCACCGGCTGCCTGCCTGCCTCCTGTCCCCCTCCCCCTTACGAACACCCGGATGTATTTCCTCATAGGTATTGGGCTGCAAACAAGGGCGCGTTGTAAACGTAACCACTCCCGGTAGGCGTTACGTTTTTGCACTACCGCGTTAACGAACTATGACCCTCGCGTTCCCTCAGCGGTGGTCTTTATCGGTGCGTATTTCACTTACCACACCGCGCTCATTCCGGGTTCCGACTGAAACACCATGGTATTCCCTACGCTTAACGCCTACGCCCAGCGGTTAACCCTCCGTCCTTACAGTCATCGCCGGCTGCAGTTTAGTAAGTCAGCGATCGCTTGCGGAGACCGCCATCTGTCCTCTCCCGCGCTTCCGCGGAGTTGCTTTCTTATCTCCACAACGGCTGCATCTTCAGTCTGCATAACTCAGTATACAGAGCTTACCTGAAGGCATGCCCGTCTGTGTGCTGATGCAATGTTTGCAATAGCATCGGTTTTCGACATCGACATACTAACCGACAAGTCAGCAGTCCCTTTTGTTGCAGATACTGCACTAGGTCAGGGGACCAGATAACCTCCTAAATCCGCGTGTAATCCGTCGGCTTATTCATTTGCGGAACTGCTTTCCGTCGTCTTTTGAGAGACTGGGATCTGCAAGCAGGACAAAGTGGGAATTTATTCACAGAGTGCTGAATGCTCTGTAAATTGCATAATCCCCCCCCTTAGCGTCCTGCACACTACTACAACTTTGTTTTGATACACACATGCGACCCCAGTGGTAATCTACTGTTCCTTTCGGATTTTCCATTCCGAACTTCCCTACCTTTCGCCTTTAAGTCGTACCATGACTGCGTTGTACCGCTCTGCGTGTCGCTTCCTGCGTGCTGTGTCCTCGCATTCAGTAGGTTGGCCGGAGTTTTCGCGCACACACCACGGAATGACCTTCAGTTAGACCGCCTTCCTGCCATTGGTTGTTCGCCTCCAATTACGATTCCTTCCAATCAACCGCCAGTATGCACTTATTCCGAAAATCGTACTACATATGCCGGGTTTATTATGCACCTTTCTCACTTATTTCACCTTAAATAAACTAGCCTAAGACTTTACCATGATCGTTGGTTCTGCGCCTACCTATTACAGCCACTCCCGCCCGCATGCGATTGCCCCACTCGTATACCCCTATTCCCACCGGTACCGTAAGACAGGCAACTGGGGGGTTTCCCTACCGAGACGACTACCAACCGCGACCAGCGGCCTTGATGGGATTTGAGCCCGCCACAGTTAGGGAATTGCTTGAGCACAGCCAAAACTCTAAGCACCTGAACTACGAGTTTTTTACATATGTATCAAATGAATAACTCAAATCTACTAAAAAACACGTATGACAAACTGCATGGTTTTGCAGTCGATCAGTAAGGAAGGTGGGGGAAGGGAAGGAATAGTGTCGGTGACCAAACTGAATCCGCGGTCTTGTTCGCAGTGGTCATACTGCCTGGCAACGATGAGCGTCCTTAGTTAGTAATTAAGTTACCTCATTTGGTCGCGTGGGCAAAGCACGTCATAGCAGAGTGGGGGGAGGGTCGATTATCGTGTCTGGTTGTGCAGTTGATGTCAGACGCTCAGACCTCCAGCAGATCTCTCCCGGTCATATTGGCGACCTGCACCGTTATTCGCGTACTCGCGTAATTCCTCGACATGGCTGCCCCTTCCAGGATATGGGCCAAAGAGGACGATGGCTCAGTTCACGAATAGTCAAGTCTTACAGCATAAAGTCGCTGCTCATGTGCCGGAACTCCTCAAATACTTGCTTCCATTCGTAATGTATCAACTCTGACCTGCTGATAGACCCACAGCAAACCATGTGCAAATTTGATGCCAAAACTTGCTTGACTTTCAGACAGCATAAATTGCACTTAGTTCACCGCTCATCCAGTCTGGCAGCTATGCCTCCTCCTCCTCCTCCTCCTCCTCCTCCTCCTCCTCCTCCTCCTCCTCAACCTACCCTCATAATCGGTTTTTCATACCAGTACTCGGACGGGTCTACCAGTAAGTAACGCGCACTCGTCAGGTGCCGTGCAGCATGCAAGTTCGGCCTGATGGCATCTCACACTTCTAACCGGGAGAAATTCTCAGTGCCTTCGTTGCTGGATGTGCAGGTCCACTAGCAGCAAACTGACTTTATGCCTGGCAATTGTGCTTCCAGGACTGCTTTGAAGAGGCTGTCTGACGGTCAGATTCTCGGTTTACCAACACTCCCTTGTCGAGTCGCGCGAATAAGTCACCTTACTGGCGTCTGCAGGTGAATTGCTTGGTCACATTTGTTTTGAGGACCACAGAAAATGATAAAAAAAACCAGCAAGATCTTATTTCGTAGCCGTACCTGCTATTGGTTAGGGGCTGGGGTTAGGATGGAGGCAAGAGGGTGACTTGCATCTGGCGCACTCTCACCTACCTCATCCACTTGAACTCTGTAGTGGGACAGAGGCCGGAGGCAGGGTCGGGCGCAGTGACTGACAAAGCCAAACACGGTCCGTCTACGCGTGCCACACACAACCCGGTACGCGCACAAAGGACAAGGTTTTAACAGAAACAGCCAAGGGCGGTTGCTTGGGTTTTGAGGACTTACTATCACTGTCACTGACAGGTGTGAAGTGGTGGTCACCCGGCCAGTTAATTGCTTGTAAGCCAGGAGATTTTTTATGTCGACAATTCATTCAGACCCCCTTTTTTGCTTTCCAGTGGGTTTTTGCCTTAAAACAAAAGAGGCGCAATAGATGTTTCCTAAAGGCAAAACATTTTCTCTTTCACCTAGGCGAATTGATGTCGAGGGGGTTGATGTGGGTCCTAAAGGCCTCCAAAAGACGCTTAAAATCCTCCTCATACTGAATTCCCTCCTTTTGGGATTTTGCTTTGTCCTCGTACAGTCGGCTGCGATGATGTTGGCGGTAACAGCCGAAGTGGAAGCTCGCTTCCATGCGTAAGTTCATTTTTTATATTATCCACAAGCAATTTGACTTATATGGCGTATATTACAATGCGTGACCGATCTCATAAAATTAGTTTTCTATTAGTAACGGTTACTGAGGTGGAGTGGTAATAATGATTATCCAGCGGCATAATCCTATAGTATTTCGGCCTTGCCAGGATGTCGGCTTTTGAATGTACTTTTTTTCGACCTCTTGCAGAAACTGTATTTGGTAAAAAATGCCTAATTGCAGCACATGTATTTTCCCCATCGATTTTCGATGGCCTTATAAATCCAGATCCGTTTGATAGAAAACATGCACAAAATTTGCTTTATTTTACTTGCTTAGTAGAGAATCACGTGGTCTTCATATTTTATACCCGAAGAGAGAATATATTCAGGTTTTGAGAAAGTTTCCCAATTTCCGAATAATTTTGAGCCAGATCAGCCGTTGAATTAGTATTTAGCGATTTCAGTCTACAAGATGCATGCTTTCGGCGTAGGAAAAATCATATATTCCCTAATGTCTTTAAAAAGGTGTCATATAAAGTTCATATAATGTTGCAGCGGATGCGATTTTGTTGTACATTTCATGAGGAGCACTTGCAAACGGACATGTGCGACCCTGTATGTATGGACAATGCACGGTCCTAAAAACCTCATAATTTGAAACTTTTTGAAAACAGATAGATAACCTTTCTTCGGGTATAAAATATTGAGACAATGTGGTTTTCTAACAAAGGGGTAAAAGAAAGCAAATTTTTGTGCATGTTTGCTATCTAATCTATTTAAACGTCGACAATTAGTATGAAAAATGCATGCTTCATAAGTAGTCATTTGTTACCAACTGTGGTTTCTAAAGGAGGTCAAAATGAAGTGCATTCAAAAGCCGATAAACTGGCGATTCTGAAATATTATAGCATCAAGCCGCACAAAAATAACTTATACAACCCAACCAAAGTAAACCTCCCCAATCAAAGACGCATTTTAGAATTTCGGCCAACATTTCATGAGATAGATCACTCACTGTAGTTGCTATGCTGGGATTGACCTCGATGGGTGTAGTTCCTTTCTTTCGCAGGCGTGTGAATGCAACGAATACTCGTACTTTATAGAAGGTAAGAAGTGGATTGTAATCTTAATTTGTAGAAAAAAACATTGAGTAGGATGCACGCTTTAGGAAAGACAAAGCGAGGAAGACGGGGATAGTAATTTCTGGCTTATTAACCGTCGCCAACCAGTCGTACGCAACCGCGGGTTCATAGCACCGGCATTCAAATCCGGACTTTTTGGCCCCTAAATAGTCTGTTGTCCCACCATTAAGCCACGGTCAGTTGTCCTGTCGGTTGCAATCAGTAGTATGAAATATTGTGGAGAATTTTGCCCACGGTTCATGATTCGAGACGTGTTGGACAATTTGCGTCCTAAGACTCAAGCTAGAGGCCTCCCAGGCAGTGACCAGAAAAAAAATTCACGAGTTCCGACGAAGAAAAGGGAGTCAGGAGCGGCCATTTCGGGCTTATTAGCCGTTTCAGCCAGCCACAGTCCCCAGAAATCTGGGTTCTAATTCGGAATCCTTGGTCATCAGACCCTGAACCAAACGTTCTGCCACCGAACTGCGGGTGTGACGTTCTATCACTCACGACCGGGCATCTGACTTTGCATGACAACGACCTTCATCAATGCATCCCTGACCACAGGAGAGAATACAAAACGGTCCAATTTATCCCTGTAGCTCTGCTCTTAGGTCCTCACGCGCAGTCTCATATGTACAGGGGCAACGACTAATTGAGAACTGCTGTCGACAAGGCCAGAAAGACTGGCTAGCTCACACACTGACCCGCCCCCTCTTGCTTGCAGATATTGTAATCAGTGTGTGTGTGCGCGCACGTTTGTGCGATGATAAACCTACCGTTCCGCTCTGGGATGTAAAATTTAGCAAATTTTAACGCCCCCCACTCTAGCAACTCTAGTCGATGAAGTTTTTGACGGAGATTTGAAAGATCACTATTGAAGTGATAGGACGGGCCTCCCGCATTACTCTTAGATCCCGGAGGTCCCTCTTCTGACGAATAAGTGATCCATTCCTCTCTTCGAAGAAACGCCAGAATCCGGTGACTGCAGGCGATGGCTGTAGACTGAGTCCCAAGGGGAAATAAGACGACAATGTCTCGTCACCTGATCTCTGGATGCGCCTTTCTCACGACAGAAAATCCCTTCTACACTCTCTGACATCGTATTTGAAAACTTGATACGTAAAACAGGGGTTACATTTGTCATAAAATGGACTTACTCCGCGTTTTGAAGAAGGAGACACGATCGCTGGGACGGGAGCCTTATTAGCCTGACGTTTCGGATTCCTGCTCGAATCCATCATCAGAGACAAAAGCAGATGAGGGGTTGCATTGCATTTGTACTGGTTTGGAGGTCACACTTAAGTCACTGATCTTGGAGCGTTTATAGCGGACGCTGGTAACTGACCCTATGGCATTTCGACCAACGTATGCGACAATGTCGTCCGCGTGTCCTACAGCGCGGTGGACGCAAGAGGGTGACTTGCGCAGCACCTGGGGTACCCTCTCCCATCTCCCCCACTTTGACTCTGTGGCGAAACAGAGTCAGGACGACCGGAGGCAGGGTCAGGCGCAGTGGCTGACAAAGCTAAACACAGTTCGTCTACGCGTGCCACACACAACCTGTTCACGACACAACCAAGGGGGTGCGGTTCCACATGGGTGGGTGTGCCATAGAGGACACTTTAAAAGGTAATCGTTGGGTCCGACCCTCAGTCTACCTACGGAGGGTCGAGCTATCCCGTCAGATGACAGCCTTCAAAGTGTCGACTTTTAGCGCACTGTGATAGTTTCAGTAGGCGTCACATTCAGTAGTAACGAGGAGGGATTTTCAATGCCTTGGTGACGGAGTCCCCCTAGACGACCTCATCCGCTTTTTCCTGTTCCCCATGCCTACCCACTACCCGAGCCAGCCACTGGGATTGGGCGGAGCGGTTAAAAGGCCTATAAGGACGCGTGTAGGCGTGCCACGCCCAGCCTGGCCTCAGAATACTGCACCAAGTTTTCACGAACTAAAACAGCCACTCGGGTCTCATGCGCACGAGTGTGCATAAAGGCCAGAATGACATTATAACTGGCTGACCAGCCACGTGCAAATGCTCAATTTCCGCTCCCTTACAATCGAGGCTGACAGTTGATTTGATGACAAATTGTCAAAGTTAATTAGTAGTATCTACAGTAGATGAGCTAACTCATGAAATGTCAACAAAAATTTCGAAATGCGTTCTCGTTTCGAAAAGATAAATTAAGTAGTGTTGTAAAGCTAATCATGATGCAGCATAAATCAGGGTGTCGGCTTTTAAAAGAACTTATTTTCGGCTAAATGCAAGATCTAAACTCTGCAAAAAATTACTACTTATGTGGCATGCAATTTTCTCATTGATTTTCGAAGTCCATGAAAATTCAATTATATTTCATGGAAAACATGCATAAAAATATTCATTCTTTTACGCATTCGATAGAAAATCACGTCTTCTTCCAATTTCGTACTCAAAAGAAGAGTATAATTCGGTTTTAAAAAACTTTTCTAATTCCCGAATAATTGTTAACCCGACCTGCTGTTACACCTGCATTCAGGATTTCAAAACTACAAACTGTACATTTTCCGTGTACGGAAAACCATGCATTTCTCTACGGAGTTAAGAGGAGACTATATGAGGTTCATAAGATTGAGCAGTGGATTTGAGCAATATTGTTAACTTTACAAGCCACATTCGTAAATGCAGATACATGACGTTTCATGAACGGCCATTTAACAGTATTAAAAAACGTCACAATTGGAAACTTTTTTAAAACCGAATTATGCTCTTCTTTTGAGTATGAAATTGGAAGAAGACGTGATTTTCTACCGAATAAGTAAAAGAATGAATATTTTTATGCATGTTTTCCATGAAATATAATTGAATTTTCATGGGCTTCGAAAATCAATGAGAAAATTGCATGCCACTGAAGTAGTCATTTTTTGCAGAGTATAGATCGTGCATGCAGCCGAAAATAAGTGCTTTCGAAAGCCGACACCCTGAGGTAACTGGATCATTATAGATTTGTGTTGCATTATGATTAGCTTTACAACACTACTTAATTTATCTTTTCGAAACGAGAGCGCATTCAGAAATTTTGTTTGACATTTCATGAGTTAGCACATCTACTTCAGTACACTGTGATTTCATATACCTCTCTTGCGAGGAAGTGAATTGGTCAGACAGAGGTCTAACGTTGGGTAGACTGAGATGGTAAGGAGTGGGATGGGGGTAACGGAGTGACGTGAATTGACTGGCGCAGCAGCTATTGCCCCAGGTTTAACAATCCATAGTGAATTGTCGATAGTAGGTGATTGGTATATTGACCAGTCTTCCACGCATTTATCTCCGGCCCAGCGCCAGCCTTTACAAATACGTCCGAGTACGAATTGGATAGGAGGCGAGGTCATTGGCATTCAAGTTCAAGCAACCGAGTCAACAACTTTCCAACGTATTCTCCACTAGTGTAATAACCAACTATTTTTACCATTTTCTCAGGGCCTGTTACTCCAGTTCAGCAACCATGATGGTGGTTGCGGTTGTCTTCATTCCCTTTGCCTGCATTGCCCTAGTCAAGACGGTCTACCTGTCCACCGCCTTCAAGAGTATCTTGACCTTCCGCCAAGAACAGTACGCCCAGATTAATTCCGTAAGTCACCTAACCAACTATTTCTTTCATTTGGGTGAAACCATCTTGTTGCCAAAGTAGGAGCGTCTGCACCGGGTGAAAACTAGAAAGTTTTCCAGAGGTGCCAGATCGGACAGAAAGGCAACCGCGCCTTTTGATGTCTGGATACGATGTGTTTTTCGAGGTCCCGTAGACTACACCCTGCCAGAGCGGATTTCCGTACTTTCAGGATCTCCTCTGCTTTGGGCTGAAAGGATGTCTACTGTGCCGCTGTAGTCGCGGGATTGGAGGGTACCTCAGATGCACTGGGATAGGAGCCTCCCTACGGTGATACAGGTGGGGCTAGGCAAAATCTCAGTGTTCCATCCCTAACATTGAGCCTAACTCAAATCTTAACCCGAACCATAACCTTGACAATAACTTCGATCCCCCTGGAACTTGGCGCAAGTTCCCCGTAATAGGCGGGGATTCCTAGTCTCGTGTCCTGACCGATTTCGATTCCCATCTCAGACGACTTTCGAATATGTGACTCTTTCAGAGCAATTTTATTTCGTTTTTTTTAATTTGCAAACTGTCTCACACAAAGTAGAAGTACCCCTCGATTAGGTGCTTAATGGTAGGTACTTCAGGGGAAATGATATATATATAACAGCGAGCTTTTTGTTTTCTTTCAAATTAACCAGAATTGAGAAGCGCAGGCCGACCCGAAGTCCGGAAAGTGGTTAGCTTTCAACTGCTTGAAGTCCACCGTCAATCTCTGGCAGTGATTACTTCCTACACAAAGAGGAGCCTTCATGATGAAGCCTGAACATACTCCACATAATATGTTCACATATTTTTGCAAAATGACGACTTATCTCATACATTTGTACATAACGCTCTTGCATAACTGCTCACGCAAAAACGCATTCGGGTCTGGAACTCGGCACCTACACCAAAGAAGAGACATAAGTACCTTTTTGACTCCCTCTTCCTCTATATTTAATCTTCGACCTCTCAGATAAAGCCATCTTTTGACACAATATTGTCTGGTGCGGTACGGAAATTAGAAATTACATTTCACATGAGTTCTTAGAATCTACAGACCCCGCGTCAGGAAACTTAAAGCGTTCAATACAAAGGCATTTGAGAGTCAGCTACCTGGGCGTGTGGGCGTGGAACTGAGTTCCCCAAGTTCTCCTCGACGTTGCGGACCTGCATGAGCAATCAGCATTAACATTGATATTTCCACAGTCCCTGCGTAGGCGTCCCCAGCTCCGAAATGCGACTATTTAGACAAAATGGGCGGCTAGATCGCAGTTGGTAGCCAGGAACGGGGAAGCGGACGGCGACCTTAACCCTAATCCTAGCCTTAACCCTAACCCTAACCTAGACCTTAAACGCTAGCCGTTAACCCTAACGGCAATCCTAACCCTAACCGAAATCGCAAACGTAACCGCAGCCCTGAGACATAGCCGTAACTGAGAAACCTAACCGTAATACTTAACCTATTCGTACGCTCAAACCCTAACCGTAACCCGAAAACCTAAGCCTAAAGGCATAACCCTAACCCGAAAATCTGAAACCATTAACCGGTACCCTTATCCTAACCTCAAACATAAAACGGAAGCCAAATCAGTCAGATGTGACTATGGAACCCTACAAAATAACCTCAGTAAACAAACCCTACAACCACCTGTAATACGCGGCCTGGCTACCAACTGCGATCTAGCTGGAATGCGCATTTTAATAGAAAATCTTCTATACTGCTTCTGTATGAAGGTGAATAGCTTAATCTGATCACACGATAGCCTGACCATTACAAATGATAAGATCCACCACTGCCAATCCGGATTCAACACAGGAAACTGCTGGTAAAGAAGCGGACTTTCACTGTATTTGTTTCACTTCCCTCTAATTCCCCATGGTTCCGATGGTAAAATAAGGTCAAGATGTTTCAGAGGTGGATCCAGGTTCAGCGGCCGGAAAGGTTAAACAGTCCGCCTGAGAGTCGCACGCACGCCCAGACCTAAAAGGAGAAAGAGGGAGTTTCGGAAGCGAGGGGTACCACACGAACCGCACTAAGCCTAGACTGTCCGTCTCCCGTCCCAATAGAGAAACCTTTCAGTTGCCACCGGGAGAAGCGTCTCCGTTTGTTCTTCTTTCTCTCCTATTTTCTTTTAGCCTGTCCAAATACTTTGACAGGCGTGGCACGAGTCTCTGCTGCAGTCGTGCCACGGGTGCCGACAGATGCGGTCGCTTGCTTGTTATAGCTGATGGCGCTGAATTCAGACGGAGGCTTGATGAATGGTCGGTTGACGAGAGTCATGTGATAACTGAATTTATGGAGGAATGTGAGTGTGGAACGTTCCCTGAACATCAGCTGACAAAGTAGTAGGGGTTGGAGTTTGGCGGCGTTGGTTCAGGCCACTGTTGTCCTTCATGCTGGCTGCTTTTCCTGATAGAGGTTGATTATATGGTTTCCCGACAGGACATTGAAACAGGAATTGCCCTTAGTACTGGTGGCTTTGGGCCAAATTCCAGGGAAAGAAGGATCAGGTTTAAGGTTGGGTTAGCGGTTAAGTTTGGGCTGAAGGTTAGGGTTAGGACCAAGGGTAGGTTTGAAGTTAAGATTAGGGTTGTGGCCAAGGTTTGGGTTGGACGTTCCTATTTCCGTGGGCTGTTTGGGGGGCCACGCAAGCAATTCAGATACCTCAATAGTAGTAAAAATGCGATTCCGAGGTGGCATATAAAAGAAAAGTAGGCGTTCACCGGGAGAGGTGTATTGGAGGTCTGACGTTTCGTGTAGTCGTTTCTTTTACCCATCTTCAGAAACTGAGAAGTCATGCACACAGCTTTCCTTTTTTGGCGCACTTTGCTTGATGCCTGGCCCGCAAATGCCGCCTGCGTGGCTGCATCCGACCCGCATGTCATCGTAACCTGAATCCCGCCCATCTTTGTCGGCTGCTGCGGCAGTTGACGTGTCCGACTGTCCCGCGCCGTGACTGTCCCTCGTCAAGAATGTCCGTAAAACCAGATAGGGGGGAGGCAAATTGATGTGGCGTTTGACAGAACAGTCCGTAGACAGCCAGGCTTCTTGTACCTGCCTTGCCGTACGATCATCACCTCGGCCCACAATTTCGACGGCGTTAAAGTTGAAGAGGTGTCCCATTTGGGCGGCATGGGCAGAATAAACGACTACTCGAAGCGTCAGACCTCCAAAACACCTCTCCCGGTGAACGCCTCCTTTTCTTCTAATTCAGACATCTTTTCCTGGTTAGCCTGGGAAAAATCAGTCGTATTAGATTGGGGACTACCATGGTTTACTATACTATTGAAGGGCTTCCTGAGGACCCCGCAGGGTGCTCTTGAATCTTTGCTTGCGAGAAACGACAATGATGTCACAGTAAATAGTTTCATTAATTGGAGCTCGTCAGCCACCCTCACGAAATGATCCCCCATCCCCGGAATTAAGTGCCAGGGCGACTTCTCTGCCTCCTCAGCCTTAGAAATCTTCCGGGTGGAACTGGCCTAGGTTTCTTGTCAGGTTTGTGAGTATTATACATCCCGTTTGACAGGACAGCAGCACTGTACATCCCCAGTTTCGTGTACTGGAGGATGTCTGGACCATTCCACGTGGAGTGTTTCAACCTGCTGGAGGCATGACCGACTTTGGAGGCCCTGATTGTCATTTCGGCTATGATCCAGATATTCCTCAAGATAGTACTTTCTAGTTGTTGGAATTTATCCCCTGGTATGAAGTGAGTTCCGTTGGCAGGTACCAGCAATTAATCGTATTCAACCCGCTGCTATCAGTGGGGGGGGGCCCTAAAGCCTGGCTATCCTTACGCTTGTTCCAAAATGCAAACGTTGGCTGGTAAGCAGGTTTCAATGACCGGGATATTTGACGTCGATTCCTGTCAGCCTCTCACGGACGAAGTACGCCAGTGTGGTGTTCAGTATGAGGTTGAGGGGGGGGGTGAGAGCGTACGCAACCCGGTATCACACCACTTGTGCCCACGCAGACTTCTGGAGCGGAGTCGTTTTTTGTGTCTCGCGCCCTCATGCTGTAGTGCAGTCGTCTAACCCCTCGCGCAAATCGTTCCGGCCACCGGAATTTTGCTGTGATCTTCCCAGGGTCTGTCAAGGTTCACCACTTTCAAGAACTTTGACTGTTTTTGTAACTGTCCGTTCGCAAACATCGTGTTCTGGTTCACGGTGTTTTCGGAATCCACGCGACATATCTGAAAGAAATTTCGATAAGATGTAGTTATGTAGCCCCACCTGGTGGATAAAATACTATTGGGGTTGCGGTTAGAGGTTAGGGTCAGGGGTTAGGATTAGGGTTTACGGCTATGGGTCAGGACAACTATTTCTTAACCACTCAAATTACAACCGCGCATTTGCAATAGCTTTTCTTTTGCATTAATCTACTTGACCTCGTCGCCTGTGCGTTCCCCGGCCCCACCTATAAAAATCTCTATTACCACCGGTCTCATATTACGTGCGGCTGGGTTTATTTGCCTCAGATTGGCCTACATAACCATATATGACCGAAAATTCCCCCCAAGGACGACATTCAGGCGACTGTGCCTCTAGGTATTCGTACCTCAATCTACATCCAAAATTTTAGGTTTTGGAATTTATTACGGTTGGAGGCAGTCTGTTAATAACCTTCTTGATACTTGAAGAATGGCGATTGAGGATGCTCCCGAAGTACTCTGATTGACGATCCAGAAACCACCACTTCTGCAGTAAGAGTTTTGCCGTCGGGGTTAGACGGATGTACAGGCCAGCTAACTTGAGAGTTCTAGACTGCGTCTATAATCGTAAAGAAGCTCTCTATCTCATCGCGGTCCGAGTCTTGCAAGTCAGTCAATAATTGCGCGTTTTTCTTAACTTTTACTACTCTAGGCCTCAACATGGGGATAAGTGGTATTATCTTGTCGTTGACCTTGTTGTCGTCATGACATGTGCGTAGCCTGGTTTTCATTTTGAGAAAATGCCGTATTTCACAATCGTGGATATTGAATCGGGTCAGATTAGGCTGGACTGTGCATTCAGGGACTTTCAAGGCGATGACCTAGGTGACATCCCCCAGTTTCCCATCTCAGTGGTGTGATACACTTGTATTTGCTCCGATCCGAGTGTCATGCATTTACAGAAATCCAACTGATATTCACCTTTTCTCACTATTATGGTATTTTACTCACCTGACGATTTATTACTTGCGGTCGCCTAAAAGACTGCCACTGAATCATCACATTCCGGACAATGTGGAAATCCGTACAACACGCCACAGAGGACGAGACAGTTCTAGTTAAGTTACCTGCACCCCAGTCTGTTTCTGTCGAAATTCATAATGTGCTTTCGTGATGTTTTCATGCTGCAACCAGCTATCCATCAGAGGCTCAGTGAGCATTTGATATATTTTGGAAACAGACACTTGGGCATCCTATACTACTTATGCTGAATGATTTGTATACCGAAAGAGCATAATATCCAATGTGAACCTAACTTACCGGGAATTCATTAGCTGTATTAGATTCGGAGCTAAAAGGCGTATTTTCAGTAACAACTAAGTCAACAAAAATTTGGAATACTTATGCATTTAGCAGTCGACAGGTCTTCTAATCAGTAGTTTTTGAAGCATTTGTACCATTGATTGCCCGCGCATTTGAAAGAACACTATGCCGCTCTTAAGCACTCC